ACTTAACACTGGGGCGATACACTTGAGTAGCAAAGGCACTGGATTTAGGACCCAGATTGTCAACTGCAACCTTCATCACACGTGTCCTTGGCATAACAGTTCCTTTGGCCAACATTTCCCTGTGTGGAAAATGAGTGTGGTGAATAAGACCCTTTCCATCCATTATGCTGCAGAATCGTGATCAAAGCCTCAGAAGTATTGCTGTAACTTTACTCAGCAGAAATGTTTAAAGATAAATAAGTCAGCGTTCCCCCTTTAGAAATTTGACTAATAGATTATTTACATTTTTAAAATTCCTTACATACAGCTGATTTAAACCAAGGACTACTGGCCTTTAATTCCCAGGGGCATTTTTTTAAGGCAATATAATAAAAAATAACAGAAACTATGGGGGAGGTAGCAACTCCCCTTAGTGCTATGTGTGTCTTAATCTTTTTTTTACTGGGGTTTGAGATCAGGACCTCACACTTGCTGGGCAGATGCTCTGCCACTGGAGCATGCTCCTGGCATGCATGTGTTCATGGAATAAAATTCTCAGTCAAGGACCTGTAATTTGGATAAGATGCACTCTTGTCTTTTCCCTTGCCATAAATGTTACTTGATGGTTTTATATCAGGTAGGCTTATCAGGCCTTATTTCTCAGAAACTGTTTATTTTTATCTAGGTATGGTAGTACTCATACCTGTAATCCCAACACTCCAGAGGCTAAGGCAGAAAGATTGAAAGTTTGAGGCCACCCTGGTCTATGTAGTAAGTTCAAGGCCAGCCTGAACTACATACAGAGACCCTATCTCAAAAAAGACAACAGAACAAAACATAGTAAATATAGTAAAAGCTCACTAAATGTAATATTTTTAGCAGGCACTTTTCAGTAAGTGAGTGACTAGAAAAAGTAGGCATTCTATTTTAAGAATCGTAATGTTTTAACTTATGCAAGAAGTACAGTACAAGTTAGAATGTTTGCTTGATATGATGGGTTGATTACATAAGAAGAACAAATTATGAATCAATAACAATCTTTGAAAATATTGTTATTAACAGAGAAATGATAAGTCTACCACTAATTATTGAATGATAGCTTTCTTGGTTAAATGTGGGATGTATTTTTTTCCATTAGAAGTCTTACACTACTTAAGAATACTGGAAACATCATTTTGTGTATTTGACTATAGTTTCTAGTTCAACTTCCAGCTAAAATACCCCATTTGGTAGAAAGCCAATTGAGAAGGCAGAAAGGAAGAAAACCTTCCACATAGTTCTCTGCCTAGGACGTGGTATTTGGTAGTTACTTTCATAAATATGGAGCAGACTGGAAGTCAGGTCCCTGCTACATCTGTTGGAACACAGAGCAAAGATGCCCGTTAGCAGTCTTAGTAGTGTGTGGATAACATCCTGACTTGTGATTTCTTAGGCTCCATCAGTAATGCATAGTTTCTATATAGACCAGGCTGGCCTTGACCTCTTCATCTTCCTGCCTCAACCTCCCGAGTGCTATTTTTACAGGTGTGTACCACCATGCCTTGCTTTTGATCAGTAATAGTTTTTGAACACCATATGTTCAGAGCAGCAGGGTAACTGCCTAGAGCTTTCACCCTCTTTCTAAGACTGCCTTTTTTTCAACAGGAGTTAAATTACTACTTAATGATATGAAGCAATAACTGTTCAAATCCCCACAAAACCAAGGTATTTTCAAGCAATAAGCACAAAACAGTAAGAAAGATAGGAGAGGTTTAAGGAGCTAGAGGGAGACAAGTACTTGGATGAGAAAAATGTACAAAACAAAAAGTGATCAGATGTTTCCCCTACCTGGCATGTCCAAAACTAACTAACCTACCTACTTCCTTTCTTTTTCCTTCCTTGAACATGAGTTGAGTTCCTACCATGGCTGAGCATCGTGCCAGACACTGGGGATACAGCAGTGAGCAAGTAGGCAAAATTCCTGTTTCTTGGGAACTTCCATTCTAGAGGCACTGTGGTTGGTAGAAGAGTAGCATTTGGTTCACCCACCACACCCTCATCAGGGGGTTTTGTCCCCTCTCCTGCAGTCTTCCCTTCAAGTAATTACCACTATTCTTTTTATTAGTCTCTATTCAATACTATTCTAAGAAGCTCTTTCACCTCCTCCCTTTTCCCTTCTTCTCTCTCTGTCTCTTTCTTTCAGTAGTCTTGGGTTTCTGTACCAGGTTGGCCTCAATAGTGCTAGTACACCACAAATTTTAAATGAAAATCTATGGAAGAAATAATATTCTATTAATCTTAGTGATCAGACACATCAGATGAACTTTTCGTGATTGGCCATTGAACTTGGCATTGAAATATTTTAGAAAGAATAAATCATTGACTTTTGTAAGAAAAGGGCTGACTGAGTGAATGAATGGATAGACTGTGTCTCTAAAAATATTAGCTACTATTTAATGATTAAATCAGTACAAAAGGCTTATGAGATGGATACTATTTATATCTGCACGTCATGAGTGAAGACGTCCCCGTGATGTTAAGAAAGTTGCTGAAGTTCATGTTGCCAGAGAGAAGTGGAGACAGGATTCAAACTCAGGGTTTTGACTCCAGTAGCTTTTAACTGACTCCGTGTTATGCTGCCCTCTTATGGCAACCGCAGATAACCTGACTCATCAATGTTTTTGTCTGGTTTCTTCCTCAAGACAGACTTTCAAATTCCTTGCCATTTGGTTTCCACACTTGCTAATTTGGGTATATTTAACTTTCTTCCTACTTCCTTTTGAGCACTGAAGGTCAGTCTTTATTCTCATAGAAATATAATATGTTTCTCAATTCAGACCTGAAAATTAGATGAGACAGGTAGCTTTCTGTGAATATAGAATTATGGTGTTTGCGGTGGGGCAGGGGTGAGGGTCTCCCTACCTACAAAATCTCCCTCATTTGCTTCCTGATGTTTAAAATTTTACTAGCACAGCTTCACTGTGTAGCTTCTAGCCAAGTCCTTTGTCAAAAGCAAATACATTGGGAATAGTTAAATGACATTGTAATCTAAGCCTGTCTCCTTCTTCCATCCATCTTTTCATTCAATAAGTATTTTTGGAAGTATAGCTAGAGTCCTGGTCCTGGGTGCTAGAGATTCAAAATTAGCAGGTGATCTGTGCTCTCAGCAAAGTTTTCATTCTGGAAGCAAATGTAAATGACATACAATATACTATCTTAGATGCTATGCTGGAGGCATTTACAAAGTCGAGGGAAACACAAAAGGGAGGGAGGTATTGGCTCTAACTTGGAAGGATGAGAGTATATATTACTTATCAAGTCCTTCATACTTTAGTAAGAAAGTATCATATAGATTCTTTTCCAGAGGGCATGTTTTGGTGATTTGGGGTGACTCTGTGTTCATGGACATACTATAGAGGGAGAGAGAATAACTGAGAAAGAGTTCTTCCCCCAAGTTTAACTGGGTCAGCGAATGGAAACCCAGTCACGCAAGCAGAAGCTTAGAGGTCATTCTTGTCAACCTCTTTCCTTTTACCCTTCACAGTTTGGGTGACTATATCCCCTAATCACTTCTTGTACTGAGATTCTTCCTTTTAACTCTACTGCCTTCTTCATAGCTAACCTACCACCTTCTCGTGGGCAGACGTTCTACTGATTTTGTTAGAATCCATTCTCTTAAGCTCGTGTCTACCCTGTATCCATCTGGTCATATCAACCCATCCAATGCCTTCACACTGCCATTAAAGAAAAAAAAAAGAAAAGAAAAGAAAACTAAGCATTCTACTAGAGCCTGCATGACCTAACTCTAAACATCAGTGTACTTCTCCAAGACTCTCCTCTCCTTTTCACTTTCTCTGTACTTCAGCACTGCATATCATTTTTTACCTTCATTCTGTTTTGCATCTATGGAAGATCAGCGCCAATGGTCCACTTTTCACCCATCTTTGTATACATACACTTTGCCATCTAGCGCTTCAGTGCTCTCCTGCCAATGGTGACACATAGTTCCCTGACCCTGAGTTCAGCTGAATGGCTTGCTTTGGCCAGGAAAATTAGGCAAGGTTCAGAGCCCAGGCTTCAAGAGACCTTGCATGTCTTTAGAATGTGCTCAGGTTCTAGGAAAAGGATGAGGCATGTGTATAGCAGAACTGCCCAGTTGAGCCAAGCCTAGATCAAGCCAACTCCACTGGATAGCATGGAACTTTAAGAAAAATAGCTGGCTGTTATTTTAAGTGTTTGGGGTGGTTTGTTATGTAGCAATAGCTAATTGACACACTATACATAATAATTTGCATTTTCTGTGCCTTTACAAATATCCCCTGTCCTTGTTCATACATTTAAGTAAATCAGGATTAAAGTCAACAAAGACTGCATGGGTGGACATCACCCTCACTATTATGAACAGCAAACTGTGGTTTGAGATTTGGGTCCAGTAACAAGACAGTGGCTGTTTCCCCCAGGGCTCCACTGGGACTTTCCAAATGAAATAGGAGCTTTCTTGGCAGTCCTACAAATTGGGTGGATGAAATTGGGCGTGAATCAGAAATTTCTTTTTGCCACAGAAACTCTTCATCCATGTGAGGGAAGGCAAATCAAGTACAACAACCTGGGGGCCGTGCTGAAAGTTCAGAGCTTGTTTCCAAAGTGACATGATCTGCTTGCCTTCTAGATAAGGGTACATTCTGTCATAATAGGCATTTTAAAGGTCAGGCTAGATTTAAATAGGACATCTTGTTCCTTTTAAATTTTGTCCTTTGAAACCCTGCTGAATATTTCTAGTCTTTCCATTTTCTTTGCTAGACAAAACCTATTACTAAATGGATGTTAATTAACTCACAAGGTCAAAGCATTGATAATCCAAAATGAAAACCACGAACACATGTGGCTGTCATAACCTGCCCCCCAAAGCCATGACAAACTGCTGTGCTCTTAAAGAAAACTCCTGAAATGAAAACTCTTGCACCCATCACCCATGAGAGGGGTGTTAAACAAAGTGCACTGATCAGTATGCCATCAGAGCAGAAATAAGTAAAAATAGACTGTCAACAGCTGTTACCGCTCTGGAGAAAAGTACATACACACCTGGAGCGATGTAATTCTTCTCCCTGAAATAAAATTTAAAAATATTTGTTTTAGTCTTGTTTAAGCACATTTGAAATGTAAGAATCAGCTTAGGTCAGGTCTTTTCTGTCAAAGAATTTAATCAGTAATAACCGCCTTACTAACTCATTTCCCATACACTCACTTAATGGATTCAGCTTAATATGATAAAAGTTTCTATTAAGAACAAAGACTTGTTATCTCCAGCTGGATTAGGGCAAGAATTCCACTAGATGTCCTGGTTCGGGAGCTGATAACCCCAAACAGTTATTGCTTCTCTGAACTTTTAAACTTTTTTGTTCCCAAAGCCCCCTCCTAACCTGTTCCCTTTCTAATTAGCCAACTACATAGACTGTGAGCCCAAAACCTGCCCAATCCAGGGTCAGGAGAGGGACAGAATGGCATAAGATAAAACCCTTGCAGAATTCCGCCCGATGTGCATACCTCTCAGACTTCCTGGTGTGCATCCTTCTCAGAAGAAAATTTTGCCTTGCCTATTGATTTCTGAGTAGTGTCATCTCTCTTGTGACACCCCAATATCTTAAAGACATTTCTAACAAGAAATTCCAAAGCAAACTCTTTAGAAGGACACTTAATTAACTCTTCTAGCTAGCTTGCTTGGATTTGTAGTTTTTTTGGGGGGGGGATAGGGAGGTGGCTAAGAAATGTGAAGAATTAGCTCTTTCTCCTCTTTTAACTCAGCTATTCCAGGGTATCTTCCAATGGTGTATGATTCCAAGAGTGTCACTATTGCTGTATAATGCCCAACAGACCATTGGTGGCTTTTTGGTTTTGTTTCCTTTTTTGCTTTTTTTTCTTGGCAGTACTGGGGATTGAATTCAATACCTCACCCTTGCTAGGCAGGCACTCAACCACTTGAGCCACTCTGCCAGCCATTGGTAGCTTTCCTTAAAGTGCCTTCAAAGAGAAGAAAGTGAATTAGATAAGATATCCATTTTCCTTCTTCCCCAAATGCTGCACCTCATGAGAATCATTGATTCCTAAAGAGTGTGTCCCCTTGGTAATGTCTTCCTGTGCTGTCCCCCTGACCTTTAGGATAGTGGGCAACCCTGAGACCTATTTCACTTTTCAGTCCACCAAGCACAAGAAGAGGGCTTAGAGCTCTGTTACCTGAGGACTAGGGTACCGTGGTGTGGGGCTGGACACTGTGATATCTTCTTGCCCTGAAGGAGAAGGCTGGAAAAGAGACCCCTCACTGTTGAGCACAGGAAACACATCCTCATCGGTGGGCCTGACTTCGGGCCTGACAGAGTCAGCTGCGTTGAGGACCATTTCAGGGTCAGAGGGGGGCCTTGAGCAGAGTCTCAAGTGTGACAGAGTATGGGAGGAACCCTTTGGACTTCCAGGGAAACTCTTGGAAAGGCAACCTGTGGACTCTTTCCAACTTCCCCAGGTGGGCACTTCCAGGGCATCTTGCTGGGGTAACCAGTGCGAAGTCTCCCAGCCGCTCCCCCGTAATCTCCTCAGAGTGGGAGAGGTGGAAATGCGTCCAGGGGCTTGTCGGTCAAACTGGAGAAGGTGGCCTTGGCTCTCACAAGCCTTTGTGGATAGTTGTGGGGGGCGCTGAGGAGGTGTCCCACAGTTGTTGGGCTGTGCCTCTGAGCAGGGTGTCTCTGTCTTCCCCATGAGGCTAAGGGAATCCATTGCTGGAAGCTTCCAGGAGACACTGTCTGAGTTGCTGTTCTCTGGATTATGCTGGGGTGGCATTGTATCCTCTTTGTCCTTCTTCCGAGACAAACTGTGAGCAGGTTGCTGCATCATTAGTGAGGAGGAGCAGTCTTTGGAATCTGTAGTGAATCAGGAGACCAAGGTGAGAAAAGGAGGTGTTCGAAATTTCAAAGGAAAACATAATTTTTCAGAGAAGATAAGTAGACCCTGGTTCTCATTAGAGCCCTTTATATTTTGAAGATAATTAACATACGTGATCCCAGCCTTCCCATCTAAACAGCATACTGAAATCCATTTACTCTCTTCTAGCTAATATTCCTTTTAGTGCTGGCCACTGTGGCTCATGCCTCTAATCCCAGCTACTCAAGTGGTAGAGAGCAGGAGGGTTGTGGTTTGAGGCCAACCCCAGCAAAATGTTCTTGCTAACATTCAGTCACATAGTTAACCACCCTCTGGCTATTCTATGTTAAGAGAATCACATACACGTTAAATTCTTGCATTCTGCTTTTGTATGTGCATGTATGTGTGTGTTTATGTACTTTGGTGCATTCCAGGGATGCACAGACAAGGAACACAGGCCCATTCCCTAAAGGTTTAAATTATATGAGACATGCTTCAAAAAAGATTGCTGTGAGCAGGGCACGGTGGCACAGGCCTGTAATTCCAGCACTATCAAGGCGGAGGCAGGAGAAAGATGAATTTGAGTCCACAGGATACACAGCAAGTTCCAGGCAACCTGGGCTACATTTTGAGACCTTGTCTCAAAGAGAGAGGAAGAAAGGGGAGGAGAGGGTTGGGGAGGGAGGGAGAATTGATGTAAATTATTTGGCAAAACACATATTTAGAAAAATGACTTTTAAGTTTGCAAAGAAAGTCCCAGACATCACAAGACACGCTTCTCCTCCCAACAAGAGGTGTTTTCTAGGATTCACAATCAGAGTTGCATCCAGGGAATATCTTCTCATGCTGAAGCAAAGCTGATTCTGCCTGGTTACAGCTGGATCATGGGGACATGGAAGTGACTTATGGCAGCTTTTTTATTTTGTCGTTCCCACATGAACAAAGTATTCACGTGTGGGAAAGTATGAATCTTCACCCCTCCCATCAATTGTTGCATGAGAGTCAATGCTTGATGATTTACAGAGGTGGGTGGAGCTGTGGAACAGACTCTGTAGCCGTCTTCCCTTGCGTGGGCAGCGTGGGAAGTGGCTTTAGACTGTGCAGGGATTGTTTGTGGGCAGAGCATCAGCAGTTGATCACATATTCTGACGTCTCAAGTAATAGTTTTAGCAAGTCTATAATTCTGTAGAGAAAACACAGTAATTTGGAACCCTTGAGAGTGGATATATTTGGATAGGCAAAATTTGGGGATAATTAACAATATAGTTTTTAGTGCCATGTAATTCTAATTGCTCTGACAACACTTTCTAGTGGAGCTGTTTTTACAGTGTATTATTCACTTCTTCAAGTTGATATTAGTAAATGCTGAAAAACAAGGAACCTTTTCCTCATGATCTGACCTCATGGTGTTGACTATCACTCATAGTACTGTGTTGAAATACTATGATTATTACTACATTTGTTGTAGTTTTATGGAGAGTACAATGACTGCTGTAGGCTTTTATTACATCTGGTTATCTGCCTCCACACTAAATGGCCCACACTGATGCACTCCCTACTTTTTATTCATTACCTCTCATTATACTTTGTGTACTTGTCTATGACAGGCAGACTCTCCCTTTTAGTTGCTTCTTTCAATCTATTCCAGGTATAAAAGTCCAAAAACTTTGTAGAATTAATAGGCTCTTAGATTTACCCTTATCAGTAAAGAGGAGGAACCCAATGTTATGATGTTGTCATGACAATATTGTGATATTGGTTCTGGGAACTTCATGATCTTTCAGTTTACTTCTTGACTCTCACCTGGTTTAAGGTCAAATGAAAATAACAGGTACTGGAGAGCTGTTTAAAGAGTTACTTAGGTATCAGCAAATGTCAATTCATTCTTGTTTACAAAAGAAATCTGAAACCCTTATTGCTGGGCTTGCTGTAACATTTGAAGCTAAGGACTTGACTGTTGTAGAACTTCACATGTTGACGTAGAATACAGGAGGTTCCCTTTTTTGGGTGGGAGGGGGTGAAAGAAAGAGAACAATACTAGCTAGAATGTACATTTACTGAGGGTGGAACTGAATTGGTTTTGTTTTAAGATTTGTTTTGAGACTGATTGCTACATTACAGATTGATGCCAGCATTTCTGGAGAAGAATGAAAAGGGGTGTCTGACCCCTGATGAACTCAAGTACATCAGGTGGCTTTAGGAACTGAGCCCCCATCTGCTTCATGGTGGGCCAGTTCCTCATTCTCCCAGCAATGGCATACCTGAGGACTGGAGCTACAGGTACTTTCACACTTGTCCACACCCAGGGATTCTATTGTTTTTCTCCTGTAGAGGATTATCCTACGGAAATTCTAGGTGGCAATAATGCTAAAGAAATTCAGTCAGTTTACACAGGCACTTGCAAAAATAGTTGTATCAGACTTTTTAGCCTTTGAGTTTCCCTTCTGTCCTTTTGGCCTTCTTTGAGAGCTTAGGCTATAGCTTTGGGGAATCCTTTCCCATCGTCTAGACACAGGAGTATGACCACTGGAAGAAGGTATTTATGCGAAATATGATTTACGTGTCATTATTGGCCTGTGTCTTAAATATTGGAACCAAGACAAAAATAACTACTGGCCAAGGTAACAGTAACGTCGACATGACTCACCACAGGACTGGGGAAACTTCGCATACAGCAGGGCTTTGGGCAGTGGTTTGCAGAGAGGTGGGAAGGGCTCAGTCTCTGGAGTAAATGGATCTGGTTTCTCTTCCAGCCTCACTGCCAACTAGTTGTGTGACAGGACGGGCCCCTTCTCCTTTGGCAGCCTTCATGTAGCATTTGTAAGAAGGGCATCAAAGTTCCTTCCTTACAGGCTTGTTGTAGGAATTAAGTGAGATGATGACTGAGGCTCCTGGGAGTTAGTTGCCTTCCCAAAACACTACCCCTGCTAGAGCTGGTAATGGGAGTCGGTTCATGCCATCTCTTCTCTCGCATTCTCTAAAAGACCAGATCACTATAAAGAAAACTCACCAGCCTTTAACCTCCTAAGTCTTAAGAATCTGGCAAACACCCACTCACACTGTTGGGGGAGGATCTCACTGTACTAGCAGTTAAAGCACATAGATTAATGGTTCACTAATTCTAATTAGACCCAGAAAGACCAGCTGGGCAGGACCAAGCAAAGCTGGTAGCAACAGGACTCAACAAACAGAAAGTGCAAGAAGGAAACACAGAAAGTGGCTGAATGTCGTTAGTACCTGTGGGATGTTCTGCTGGGTCCTGACTATCACAGTGTCTGCAGAACCACAGAGCCAGCTGCGAGGTGAGAGCTCCAGGCAACAGGCTCCGCAATTGCACCGATGGACCTTCTCCAATGAGTGCAAGCGACCTTGACAGAGCTGCAGTGAGGAACTGGCCTTCTCCTCCTTAGAGACTTTTCTAGTTATTTGTTTATGAAAAAGCCTAAAGGGAAGCAAGTTCAGAACTAAGGTCACCTAAGAAAAAGCCAGGTGACTTGTTTTTACTGAACACTGGCTACTCCAATACAGAAATGATGCAAATGTGGCTTTTTACTTCCTCTTAAGGTATCACCCAGGGAAGTTATGGGATTCTATTATGAAAATCATTCCTTAGGATCTATCTTTTTTCACATCTTAAAACATTTTGCGTTGATCTATTTTATTAATAGGATGCCTTGAAAAGCATTAAATAGAGGAAATAATCATTGTTCTAGCAAACAAATTTGTGTGCATAAATTTTCAAGTAATTAAAATGCAAGTGGAAAAGCATTCTCATTAGATCATTACCATCAAAGAGTACTTATTTGGTTCCTAGATGGATTTATTTTTAATCCAGGCAACATTAAAATATTTCTACACCTGCTTAGTAAGTGCAAGGTCCTGAGTTCAACTCCTAGCAAACATCCCCCACTAAAAAATTTCTTTAGTCTCTTTATAAAAATAAATTCCAACCAATTCTAATTACTATTACGGAAGTTGTCACCACTTGGAACTATTTACAGATACTTATTATGAAGGTTCTTGTAAGTCAGTGATTCTTAAGCTAGGTTCCCGGGCCAGCAGCCAGTATCAGTATCACTTGGGAATTTGTTAGAAAACAAAAGTTCTTCCCATTATGGTCAGAAACTTTTTGAGTAGGGCTAGAATTCTGTGTTTTAACAGAATTCTCCAGGTAGACTCTTACCTAGGTTAAAATTTAAGAACCACTGCCTTAGGGAAACATAATAATTTATGGATCTTCACCTTGTGGTAACCTTTGTATTGGTCTTTAATTCTCTCATATCAATCTTATTAGAACAGCATTTACTTAACACATTGAAAAATGGCTTGATCTTCTTCCCTTGCCACCTCTAAACCCAACCTGGAACATCAAGGAAGACCTATCTTGTCACCATGAGCTGGCACAGAATAATCTCAGCTCTTGCCAAGGCTGTCTAGAAAAGAATTGCTTCACTTTAGGAAGAAAGAAAAATGAATAAGGTCTTTTAGCTTTTGGTCTGTGGAAGGAAGGTCATCCTTTATGCCATAGGCTCCTCATGTACACACCCATAACTGTAAAACTGTCTCTCCTGGGGGATAATGATAATGGAAGATTTGATCCCAACCTCTGGTTCTGACTTAAACAAGAAAAGTAAGAGTCTACAGAAGGGTCACAAAGGGTGATTGGGGTAAAGTAGTACTTCCACCTCCTGATTTGTCAGGGAGACTGGACTCTGGAGAGGTATCTGGGATTAGGAAGGGACACCCTCGAGTAAGCACTGTCTCTATGGTCAGCTTGTCCCTCAAGAGCTGGGACAACCATACTGACCCTTCATTTCTTACTGTGACATATGAAGTTC